CAATCAGACATTTGACACTTTAACGATTCAATGTTCAGGGGAGATCCGCTTCCAGACTGCCTGATCCACGAAGCGAGGTCCACTGGAAGGGAAGGATGAGGGAAACGCTCAGCTCATGTCCCTCGCAATTCGGAGCCGCCTGTGGGGCCAAGATTAGTGTGCGGACAGCCCCCTGGTGGCCAGAATTAGACAACCAAGTTTGTACGTTGCACAAAATCGACAACTTTTGCAACTGAACCATGCCTCTCTTTTTTTCCTCTTGCACTCGTACTCTTGGCCGAATCCATCAGTGTGATCAGCGTGGGTCGATGAGACGCCAGAGCAACGGCTTTCCGTCATGGCGCCGTGGTGACCCTCCGGGGAGACCGGTGATGAACCGGGTGTTCAGCCTTCGTTCAGATCGTTCAGAATCTCCCGATGCTACTTTATCTCTCTCTCTCTGATGCCTGCATGTGAGTCTGACATGAGTGCAGTTGCAGTAACCGACGTCTAGTGCAGTAACCGGCCGCTAATGCACAGGTTCTCTCTATTCTGCCCCGGGGTTTTTCACTTCTCTATTCCTCAGGGACTGCAAGGGCATGTGCATCTGTCATGAGTGCAGACGTGGTAAAGATGTCTACAGCAAGTGAAGCCGCGCTCTCTCCGGAGAGTACTCGGCCCTCCACCTTCCTTCTCTCCGTCTACGACCTCTCAAATCAGTCCAGCAGGGACAATCAGGACAGCCTGCACTTTGCTTGTGCAACTGTGTGTGTTTCACCCGCTTCGTTGCAGCTATGTGGCCGGATTATTTTGCCGCGCAGCCCCCAGCAACACCATATGCACCAACAGCCCGACCGGTGCTTAATCAATTTCACCAGAACACCTGGGTACCGCAGTCTCAAAGCTACCCAGCAATGATGCCAACCGACATTGCTGCCACTCAGCAGCCCACACTGCCGACACAACCCACTACGATTCCTCTTGAGCAAACACACGGCTTCCCCATGATGCCGTGTGGACACACCGCTCCTATTCCACAGCATCCGACGATCTACGCACATCTCAGCACACCACAACCCCAGATGCCACAACAACCACCACCCCAGCAATTCATGCCACAACAACCCACACCGCTCATGAATCCTGCACTTGTACCTACCCATCCAACAGCTTTTCCCATGAGCCTTTCCGCTTCAACACAGCATCAGGCCCAACCTACTACATTCAACTTTCCTTTTGCACCACCTGCCCCACAACCACAACTTGCACCCTGCCATCTCCCTCCCACACAGCCCATTCAACAACCCCACATACCGCCGCCAACAACAATTCAACAAGCTCCACAACCCCATCCCACCAGTGTTCCCACTGCCGATGCGGCATACACTGCCCCGCAGACACCGGCAACGACGCCCCAACAGCAACAACCAACAAACACAGCCAATACCCCTTCTGTCAACACAGTACCACCC